AAGCTTCCAATGAGAGTTTTAGAACAAAAATCTGGCAGCCATATAAAGATATTATGAAAAGATACAAAAAAACAGACAGGAAAGCTAAAAAAGACTCATGGTGATCTTTCTGCACATCGATAGAAAGTTGCAGAGAAACCACTAGGCTGAGCAAAATGCTATCCAAAGATCATATTAATAGTGTCTACATTAGGGCGGAGGGAAATGATTGGACCTCCTCTGCAAAAGAGTCTCTGGAGGTACTAATAACAACGCACGGGGGTTAGCAAACACCTTCAACGAGGGTTCAACCAGAACCACCGTTGAACGCAGCTGATTATCGAAGCCAAATAGTAGACAAAAGCAAAATCAAATATGCCATAAATAGTTTTGCACCATTAAAAGCGGCAAGTCCTGACGGGATTATGCCTATAATGCTGCAAAAACTGGTAGAACCAATGGCAGAAGTACTAGAAAGGCTAATAGACTTCACGTAAGAACAATAATGGCGGAGAAGTTATCGAAGTCCCAACATGCGTACATAAAGGGCCGATCAACCGTCTTTCACGAGGTGATAAGTGTAATTGCAAAATCACTACACCACAAACAATACACCTTAGCTGCTTCTTCAGACATAGAGGGCGCCTTCAATAACATAGAAGTAAATGCTATAATTAATTCTCTGGCACATGGTGGCATAGATGACACTGTGTGCAGATAGATTCTATCGCTTGTTTGAGAATAGGAAGGTTATAGCTTCAAACGGCGCTGCAACACAAACAAGTTATGTAAGTAGAGGGACGCCTCAAGGAGGGGTCCTCTTTCCGCTCCTATGGGTTGTAGCGCTGAACGAAATACTACTCCAACTAAATAGTGGAGGAGTGAAAGCAGTAACGCATGCAGTGTCAGGCATGTTTCCTTCAGGAGTCAGCGAAATACCTCATTTTCAACTTGCGGTACAACACTCACTCTATCCCCCGCAGCTAAATACTTGGGGATGGAGATTGACACCAAACTGTCCTGGAAAATAAATATAGAAAAAAGAATAAATAAAGCATACATATCCCACTATACTTGTAAGATAATCGCCAACAAGAATTGGGGCCTCAAACCAAGGATTATCATGGGCATGTATACGGCTGTCATAAGACCTATACTTCCATATGGAGCTCTAGTATGGTGGCCAGCGCTAAACAAACAATACAACATTTAAAAATTAAATGGGATACAAAGAGCAGCATGTGCAATCATGGTGTGCAACCTGGTGCAATCAGGCCATGTCCGACTGATGCGCTCAATGTGATCCTGCATCAGCTACCAATGGACATTTTTATTCACAAAAAAGCAGCTATTGCGTTAAGAATAAAAGAATTGGGTGGTTGGAATATGCAGAACTACGGACATAGTGTAATCCTAAACAAGCTCACCATTAATAAATCAGACTAAATTCTCCCAAAGCTGGATTTCAATAGACACTTCCAGGTGAGGATACCATCTAGACGAGAATGGAGGAGAGGTTCAATAGGAGAGGAGGATACCGTCTCAGTCTATACCGCCGGGTCCAAAATGGACTGCGGAGTAGGCACGGGGGTATTCTCCGCTGATCTAGGCATACGTCTATACGTCTACCGAACTCTAGTCTAGCATCTTCCAAGTAGAAGTACTAGGCATAGAAAAAGCCTGCGAAGTTCTATTAGAAATATATATAAAGCAACTATATTTACGTATAGCCAGGCGGCGCTTCTGGCCTTGTCTTCACCCATGACAAATTCCAGTATAGTTAACAACTGCAAGAGAGCACTAAGCTCAATAAAAAACAAGCTCTAACTAGACTTGATCTGGGTTCCCAGCCACTGGAACATTTTCGGTAACGAAAAAGCAGACGAGTTGGCAAAGGCAGGAGCTTTCCTCAATGAATCCGAGGCGGAGCTAATACCAACCCCGCTAGGATCGATCAAAGCAGAGATCAATAGACAATTTCAACAAGTTGCAAATAACAGGTGGAAAACATTACAAAATGACAACGACTTATTAATAGGTCAAGAAAAAGTGTCTACAGAGTAACAGCTACCCCAACAGGGCACTAGCCATTTGGGGAACATGCGTCCAAAATGGGTATGCCCTACAACGAAATCTGCCGAGGTTGCGGAGTAGCAAGGAAAAAGGAAATAATCTTCCACTTTCTTTGCGAATACCCAGCTCTAGCACAGATCCGACACAAAACACTTGGAAACCATCAAGCATCAAACCTTGAATGGATTTCCACTAAAAGCATATCAGACAAAAGTAGTTTCATCGAAACCTCAAAATGGTTTGAGAGAGAAGGTGAAACGTAATAGCAGATACAGGAGGTTCTACCTGTGAGCACAAAATGATAATCCTCTCCTTACTAGGAATCACTGCATCAAATTACAGTATTGCATTTTATTTTGGAGCTTAGTTTTACCTCTCTATACTATAAGTCTTGGATTAACTGCACTTAGTAGGCGTGGCTATGTTCCGCTTCCTTCAATACTTTATGATGGCAATTTATCCATATAGTGGTGTACCAAGTTTCATCAAGGGACCTTAGTTTTTATCCAATTTATCGTCTTCTTATTTTTATCATTTAAGTATATATAATTTTATATCTATATCGATTATTGTATGGTGTTAAAAATAACCGTTAGGTGAACAAAATTTTACATTTAAGCAATATGTTACGTGAATATAAAAAAAATAATAAAGATAAATAAATTTGGAGTATATCTTTGTATATCCAAATAGGAATATGTCTATTCAATACTTATGTATCTAAGTCTGTTCTTCTTCTTATTTACTGTTCTTTACTGGCGTAGACACCGCTTACGCGATTATAGCCGAGTATCAACAACGCGCCAGTCGTTTCTTCTTTTCGCTACGTTGCGCCAATTGGATATTCCAAGCGTAGCCAGGTCTTCTCCACCTTGTCCTTCCAACGGAGCTTCCTCTTCCTCTGCTTCCCCCGGCGGGTACAGCGTCGAATACTTTCAAAGCTGGAGGGTTTTCGTCCATTCGGACGAAATGACCTAGCCAGCATAGTCGCTGTCTTTTAATTCGATGAACTATGTATGTCAATGTCGTCGTATATCTCATACAGCTCAACGTTCCATCGAGTCTGATATTGACCGTGGCCAACGCTCAAAGGACCATAAATCTTTCGCAGAACTAATCGAGCGTAACTTTCGTAAACTCGTAACGTCGACTTATCACGGGAATAATGAGTGACTTATAGAGTTTTTGTTCGCCGAGAGAGGATTTTACTTCTCAATTGCCTACTTAGTCCGAAGTAGCACATGTTGGCAAGATATATTCTGCGTTGGATTTCGAGGCTGACGCTGTTGTTGGTGTTGATGCTGGTTCCCAGATAGATGAAGTTATCTCCGACTTCAAAGTTATGACTGTCAACAGTGACGTGGGTATTAGTCGCGTGTGCGACGACTGTTTTCTTGATGACAGGAGATATTTCGTTCATCATCGGCGTACGCCAGAAGCTGTACACTCTTATAGAAGATAGTACCTTGGCTATTTAATTCTTCAGCTCGAATTATTTTCTCCAAGACTAGATTGAAGAAGTCGCACGAAAGGCAGTCGCCTTGTCTGAAATCTAGTTTGGTATTACTCAACGTCAGTTTACACAGCCGTATTAGTTTTGCATAGAGGCAGTTGAAAAGCTCGGCCGGCAATCCTGCCGCTTTGTGGTTCTTCAGACGGATAATTGTTATTCGAACTAGTCAAGTCTGTCATTAGCGGCCAAAAGTAAATGCAGTCAGCCCAGAACTTCCTCCACCCCTACTGTCCTAAAGTAGTAATTTTCGGTTTTCGGATCATATGAGTACATATACATATAACGATATTGTGATATTTTAATGAAATTATTGTAAATGGACATATTTTATTAACAATAACAACGTAGTTTAACGTGAAATCCAAAAGATATATTGATATATACCTAATTCTGATTTTATACGGTTTTAATTTAACAAAATTTGCAAATAAATTTTTTCTTAGTTTCTTATACGATTTTATTCCATTTAGCAAGATTCAGCATTTTTCGAGCTCAAATTCTACATATTTGTCAGATTTAATTTTTTCGAAATATGTTCATATCATAAATATAGAGGAAAAAAGGAAGTTTACTGATCAAATTAATTTAAAATTTAAGGGAACGAGCAATGTCTTTTTTACTATATTTCCTGGAACCAATCTACCGCAAAAAGACGGAATTAGGTGTATACCTAATTGCACTTAAATATGTAAATTAATGTTGTAAAATTTTGTATCGCTTTCTAGCTTCTCACAGTACTAATATGATGAAAATTATTATTTGTGTCATTTAGGTATATACATACATATATATATAAATATCTCAAATGTAAAACAAAATCTTGCAAAGAAAATAAGTATATAATTCATATTATAATTTAATACCATACCAAATGGGTTTCATCTAACAGCGAATATTAAGAATAATATTTTTTAATATAAATATTTGAATACACATGAAAATATTTCCCTACCTATTACGAGGGTACAAGTATAAATGTCGACTGCATCCGAACTTACCTACCTTGAGGCGCAATACTCTTAAAAAATCGAACTTCAATTAAATATAATCGTATCTTCCTGTTCATATTTAATGCAAAGAGAAAAAGTTTATGTTAGATCAAGGACTGAATCTCTTCGAAACATCCGGTCGAACAAAGGGGTTATGGAAGAACACAATATAATATTTCATTTTTATGTTTAGTTATGTGCTTACAATTTATTAAACTCAGATCTTAAATATATACAATTTTTTATTCGATATTGTGGGCATTAAAACATATTCCTATGCATATAAAACGATCACTTAATATCTATGTACATATATACCAATAACTAAATATACAAAAAATATTGTAGTGATCTTATGATTTAATAATATATTCGTCAATAATAACTCTTATATATATGACATTATATATTTACATAGATGTACTCATAAACATACAAACATAAGTTAGTTATTATAAATATGTTTTTTGTATTTTATTACAATCCTGGCACATTCGTTCGTAATAGAAACAATACAATACAATTTAACAAACAATTTATATTGTTGTTGGACTGGTTAAATATAAAAAATCACTATTACGCTTATAATGTACATTAATTCGAAATCCCTATTGTAAAAATACTGATTAAATAACAAATCTTAGTTAATATATCTTTAAACTACATCTGAACTCTTTTTGGTCCGAATTTCGAATTTGAAACTTAGCATTTTCTTAGTTGGAAAATCGTAAAAATATCGAGCAGGTACAAAAAAATAATGCTCTATTGGGAAGTTAAACTTAGTTTATCTCGTTATTTTGCATATTCTTAACTTCTACTTACGAGTATATGTCGTAAATCATATATGTATATTAAAATATGTATATGTGTAAAATGTAAAAATATTGTAACATTATTAAAGCATATCAAGTAGTCTTTTAAATTTTTGGTTTAGCGATAAGTTTGACATCGTTATCGGGAGTTGCATTTATGTTTTGGCCATAATATGGGACTTTCTTCAGGACATTGTCCCTGCTCATAGTTGATATCGTCTTTACTTCTGTGTAGATGGATGGTTCCGGTTGAGGTGGCGTCGCCACTTCTTCCTCTTCCTCCAGAATGATGTCGTCCCCTACCATTACCATTCGGTGCAGATCCTTGCTCGGACCTCTTTGTGTGATAAGCGGCGAATGGTTGACCAATGGGGATGCTTGTGGCATGTGGAGCGGTCCAGGAAGAATTATTTGCTTGTTTTTTGCTGCTGTGTTCTCCTCCTCTGTGGTTTTCAAGAGACTCTGTGTAAACATTTTGTTCGTTAATTCCATGGAACTGCACAGTTGCGGTTGGAGCACATGGTCCGAGTTGCAATTTTGTTGCTCTCCCACTGACATTTGTGACACCATTGTTCGACTGTGGTTGTTGCTCAATGCGGTATCTTTCCATTTCTCTAAAACGAATTAGTGACTTAGTTTACAACGCTCATCCAAAATGTTACTAGCAGCCTACATACCTGCAGCACTACTTCCACCAGCAGTTGATTTTCTAAAAGGCAATAATTTGGAAGGTTCACACATAATTACCGTTTTGTATGCTTTCCTATATTGCTTATTCATTATAACATAGATTATTGGATTTATACAGGCTGACAAATAGAGCATAATGTAGCTGAATATGTGGAAGTTCGGATACTCTACTTCTTTGTCGGCTACTTTAGCAATCGTTATTGGAAGATAGCATATTACAAACGACAAAAATATGGCCAACACCATTTTTGTTATACGCCACTCATTACGTTTAGCTCTCATCTCTCGTTGATCTTTGATGCGAGACGGCTTTTGAATGGCCTCCTGTTTGGCATCAGTGGAGAAGCTACTGTCCGAAGCCAGGTTAGATGATATCCTATTTTGTTCGCTCTCCATAACCGTCCCGGTGGGAGTTTGAACAGGTCTTAAATTGTTTGGGATAGAGTTTTGCTGATTCGCATGGGTTTTTAGACGCAACTCTGACTGGCGTACAACCCAGAATATTTTTGTGTAACAAGCAATTATAACCAAAGCGGGAATAATGAAAGCAGTGATGAAAAGTGCTGTCTTGCTGCTACGACCATTCTGGTCGTTCATAATTGAACATGTTTCCAACTTTGCATCATAGCCAAATGTTCCCCATACACCCAGTAGCGTTGGTAATTGCATACCGTAGGAGAATGACCAACAAAATATTATCATGACAGCAATCCAATGTTTCTTGTATATTTTTGCGTACGAAGCGTGATGAGCAATCATAACATACCTTGAGAAGAAATATGCACAAATATTACCATCAATTCTTAATTTATTTATTTGAATAGAAACAATTTTGCCAAATAATAATAGGCGAAAAATAGAAAATCTAAAAAACTCAGTTTTGGTAAACAGATGAGAAACATGTGCTAATAATACATTTTCTATTTAATGCCTTTGTAGTTATCATAATAAAAAAAGCGAAAAATAAACAATTTCAAAATTTAGGTGATAACAGTAAATTCTTACCTGTTGATTGTTATCATTGCAATGCATAGCAGCGATACTCCAATGTTTCCATATTGGATGAAAGGTATTAGCTTACATAAGAATTCTCCATGAGTCCACGTACCTTGAAAAAATCTGATGGCACTGAAAGGTAGTACTATAGCACAAAATAGTAAATCAGCCATGCATAGGCTAGAATGCAAAAATAAACAAATGTTATTTTACTAACATTTATGTTATACTTGTATATGGGTTTTTACAATTAATAGAGCTTAAGAGTTTCCCTGCTTTAATTTCTGTTTAACTACACTGACCAGTATCAAAATCCCCCGTCTAAACAGTTAAAGGAAACATTTTTTTTTTTCTAATAAATTTTCATTGACATTAAAAAATCAAAATCAAAGATTGAATTGATTTATAAATTGCAGTCGTACCATCTACAGCTGTATTACATCGTTTTAATAGAAGTATTTTGTAAATAATGTCAGAGGCTACAGCCAACAGTGGTTGAAACGATGTAATATATACAGATTAATCAACTTTTGTGTTGTTAAGGAGGGTTAAACACCTCCAAAAAGTGCATGTTTATGGATTCTTCTCAGTACAGGAATTTTGTCTTTTGACAAGATACACGGATATTTCTCAATAAAAGCTACCTATTCTTTGAAAAACGATTGTTTTCTATTTTTTGCACTGCACTATATAATGACTTCAATGAAATTGGATTCAACGGATAGGTGGGAGAACATCTGATCCTCTAAATAAGGGCTCAGTGATTATATGAATCGACTTTGCTTGGTGTATTGTAATTTTCCTGAATAACTTAAATTTCTTAAAATTTTTTGTTTTGATTAAGCTGAGGTAGCTCATGTACAATTTTAACCATTTAAAGATTGTCAATCGCACATACTAATTCGGTGAGATTGTAAAAAATTTAGTCGATATAAACTTATCTAAGTAAATTCCTAAAAACGAAAATATGTTCATACCTTATTATAAAAGCGGCGGCTACGTTTCGAACTTTCGGACATTTGTACAATGCAGCAACGGTAAGAAAATTACCAAATATACCTACAATCATTATAATAAAGGTTACAACTCCAGCAAATTTTAAAACCGTCGGAGAGAATCTGCAAAGTAATACATTTTATTGGCACCCCATCATTACGTTAATCTAAATTTCATTTGTACACATACTCCGTTCTATGTTCTCCGCCCTCATTCGTCAAATTAGGGGAGGTACTTGTGAAATCCATTCTGAAAAAAAGGAAAATTAAATTATAATGTTAATAAACTTTGTATTCAAACATTTTTTCGAAGTCGTAAATAATTTCGTGTATCTTGGAACCACAATTAAAACGAACAACAATATCAGGTGCAGAATAACTCATGTAAACAGGTGCTACTTCGGACTGAGTGGGCAAGTGAGAAGTAATATGTTCTACCGATGAATAACGACCAAATTCTACAAGTTACTCATCATCCCCGTCCTGCGATATGGTGCAGAGGCTAGAACGATGACAACGTCTGATGAGTCGGGGTTACGAGTTTTCGACAGAAAGGTTCTGCGGAAGATTTATGGTCCTTTGCGCATTAGTAACGGCGAATACCCACAGTCGATGGAACGATGTGCTGTACGAGATATACGACGACACTGACATAGTTTTGCGAATTAAAAGACGGCGGTTACCCTCCGACTGGATGAAAAAACTCTAGCTCTGAGGGTTTACGAAAAAACAGCTACAATAAGGCAATATTAATGTGTACAAAATGTTTCATACTGACAGTTCTCTCAAGCGCAATGAAACGATAACGCGCTCCAAGTACTAACCCCAATAAAACAACAAAAAAAAAAAAAAAAAACGGCAAATTCGGCTACCCCGAAGCTATAATACCCTTCTCAGGTGCATTTTTGAATAAAATTGATTATAAAAAGATCTTTATCTTGATTTTTATCGATTAGTTTGTATGATAGCTCAATGTTTTAACGGGTTGATCTCAAAAATTTCTTCAGAAATTGCATAATTGCTTTAAATAAGATATCTTGTCAAATGAAAAAGCTTTCCGTACAAGTACTTCGCTCCGATCGTTTGCATATATATAGATGGAGACGGACATGGCTAAATCGATTCATCTTATCATACTGATAACATTATACATACATATACTTTGTAGGGCTTATGACGTTTCCTTGCCAACTTGTCATGCCAACTTCGTGGATTTGTATTCGGTATGCATATGTACGTACATACATATTTATGCCTCCATATATGAGTACAAAAACACATTTACTTTAAGACTTTCTATCAACTACAAAAATTTTATTTCTACTTAATTCTTTCATCTTATTTTAGTTTGCAATACTTTGGCTAAATATAGAATTTTTTTATTTTGAGTATCATTTCTGGATTTATATTGAACTAGCTGACCCCGCAGCCGTTGTCCTGCGTGAAATTATGTGTTTTGAAATTGAAAGAAAGTTGAATTTATCATTTAATTTTTTTTCAATGTGACGCAGCTCGATAAACAACATTTTTTGGTTTCTGTTCCGGTGTACAGAAAAGATGTTTTCCAACTGAAAAACATAGCATTTCCAAATTTATGCCACACACTATGCGACTATCCTTGTGTCCTGTTGATGGTCATCTCAAATTCAATTTTCACTGGAAACGGAATACGTTTGAACTGGAATGGCAAATCGTTAGAACTCAAAGGAATTCGTAGAATCAGGCATTCTGTCCCCTTGTAGAAATTCCACTGGATATTCATGGGGTCGTCTTCATTTCCAAGACGATCGATCGATTTGTATGAGCGCGAACCTCCTGGAATTTGTCTTTGAATCTTCCCGTTTAAGTCAACAACATCGGTATATCTGGCAGCTATCGTAGTTACGATAATTTGGTCAATATCCGAACATTCGTGATGAGTTTATCTTTCGTGAATTGATAAACGGCAGATGAAATTGATATCGAACCACCGGAAGTATCAACCGGAATTGCCCCATTTCCAATTCTTAGCGAATACGATGTAAAATGTCTTCGCAAAGTCATTTTTGGTCGCATCCCATAATTTACGCGGATTTGAAGGCTGATAAGTCGAAATCATCATCGCGAAACGTGCGCGAACTTCACTTGCATTCGAAGTAGCTGTCGAATAGTCCATTGTTTGATTCCAGTGATTATCATGTTCCAGCAGTTGTAAATGCTAGCTTGCTTCTCAAAAATTTGCACACACCGTACCATTCACAGTATGCAATGATTCATATGAAGTTGAACCGCGTACATTAATCAATAGCAAGCGAAGGTATAAATAATCGTCGTTTCTTGGGTGGATTGTGTAAATTCCTGGATGTCCATATACTGGTTGGCCTTGCTTTCTGCGCAACTATTTCTTCGACGATGCATTCCAAGTATAATATCAAGGTATTTCCGAATAGAGCAATATTCTAGGATCACTGACGAAAGTTGAGAAAAAAACTCGCCAATGTTAATTTTCTTCCTGGCGGTGTTTCCAATTGCTGTACTCTAGTCTATGGGTTGAAATAGACTCGTTGGCCATTCCCAAATTAACTGCGTGACGCACATGATTTCCAAAAGTAAATATCTTAAAAAGCTCTTTATTACAGACCGTATCGTTCAAGACCAATAACCGCCATATTGCTTCTTTTGGTGACGTAATTACAAAGGTATTTTATTGATTACACCAAATTGCAATACTCAGCATTTATATGAGTTTTGAATGTGAAATACACAACAATCGTCTTGACACATACTACGATTCATGTGTTGTCAACTTCGATATTCACTCTTCTAAATTGAATGCTGAATGTTCTGCCATTGTCGTCTGGTGAGCGACGCCGACAGAGTGCATATCCATCATTTCTAGTTTGTGTTTCCGAAAGAAAAGCACCTTAATAGTGTTTCGTGTATTTATTTTCAGACATACAAACCGAAGTGGGATTGTGATGTCCGCAAGGTCCATGACCCATATTGGTTTTCATCACCTTGTATAATACTGGATCTTTCTCTGCATCATAAATTTCCGCAGAAATGATTCATCAATTTGATCTGGTGTAACCATAATCCACCATTCAAAGAATAATGTGTACGTACGGCAAACCTCTTTTTTGCAACTCAACAGAGTACATCTGGCATCTAACAGCACCATATGTATATACGTTGCTTCAAGATAAAGTCTATCAAACATCGTAAGTGTTGTTTGAAATGTCGTGCTGTAACATCGTGGCGATCGCTTGATTAATGACCGCGATTCATAGTTTCGCACGTATGTCATCGCATCCTGGCTGCCATACGTTGATGGCAAAAATAATGCCGACCGATATTAGCGCGATCACGAAGAGGAGCGTAACAAATTTCAATCTGTAATTGATTACTTTGTGTGAAACACACATAACGTTTTCACTGAAGAATTTTCAAAAGCCAGAATAAAGAAAGCAAATGACAAATTTAAACGATTTGAATAATTAAAACCCAAAGAAAAAAAAAAAATTGAAAGAAAGCCTTTGTATGAAAAAGTTACTTTATGGAATTATCCAATTTTTCGACGTTTCCACACGAAAAGCACGCGGCTTTTGTTATTTCTAAACCTTCCCCGATCCACAGCGAACAACCTTTGAAAATGTCATAAAGATTGGTTCAGCCATTCTCGAGCCGTTACTAACAAACAAACATTCATTCGTTTGTATGGGAAAAAGAAAAGGGCTGTTTTAGGGGGTTTCCGGCAATTATTCGCCGTAAAAACCATCTTTGAGCCCCAGCGAACATTTAGAAAAACGAATTGGCCAAATTGGTCCAGGCGTTGTTGAGTTATGCGCTTAGCAACACATACATATGTATGTACATAAGATTAACATAAACAAATAAAAAATTACGATTAATTACATACGTACGACGCTATTAAAAATCTGCCGTTTATATTCACAACATAAGACGTCAAAATTTCACTCTTATCTGTCAACATTTGAATTTTTCTACGGTTTAGTAAACAGACTAAATGATTTAAATTAAGACATGATTACATAAGTAATCATGCATTTGGATCAAGCTTTGTACTCGTTCTCATTTTTGCTTATTGAAGAATAGTTTAAATTTACTATTGTTTTCATTTTTTAAAATATAACTTTATTTATAATATAGGTAAGCACTCTAATCTTAACTTTGACTGTAAAAGTACACAGATATATACAAAATGTGCACATACATACGTAGGTTGGCGTTTATCAAGACTCGAGAACAAAATAATTGTAATAATCGAAAATCGCTTTATTGTTTTTGAGAATATTTGCCATTAATTGTCGAAGCACTTTTGTCGTTCCGATTGAGGTATCCAGTTGTTTTGGTCGATGGGTGAGAGTTTGCATTGTTTTGATGAAGAGTAATCCATCTTCCTGATTTCTTGGAAGACAACTGGCAAACAAATGGATGTATACCACTCAGAATTCACTGTACTGCGTTGTTCCAGCGATTTATTTGGAATATATCGATAAAAAAAACAGGTAACCGTTTGCTTGGAAATGGTGTGTGCACGAATAACAAGCAAGAAAGTTAGGTTAACCTTTTAATAAAGTTCAATTTAGCGCTAAGTCGCTAAGAAAACGCAAATTGAATTTTCCTCAGACAAATATGTAATACGAGTATATACATTCATATGTACATACAATAAACAAGAGCGTGATGTACATATGTATGTATGCATGTCTGTAGGTACATACAAATGCATATATGTATGTATATACATACGTATTTATTCGAATAAAAATTTTAAATTAAAACTTAACTTTTATCTACAACAAACACTGAAAGGATGCTATGTTGCAAGAGTGTTAGTGAATAGATAAGAAACTCTATGTATACGTGCAAATGTGTGTACGTACATACATATATCCAACTACCGATTTCCCGGCAGTAAAATAATTCATAGCCCATCCTATTACATTAGTATCCGTACAGCAGGGCATTCACGAGTACGAACAAATAAGTACAGAGGAAATATTGAATATGTTCACTTGTGTGGTCAACATATCACACATACAAATGTTGTTACCCATGTGCTTGCATATACATACATATGCGTTAATAAACGGCTGTGAACGGCTGTGAAGACTTGCGTTGGCTTGGTGGTGCTCGCCCATAGATCGTAGAGTATTTCATTGTCTTTAAATTAATGTCAATTAAGTAATTTAAAAAGGTCAACTTTAAGTAAAATATATACACATATTCACATCTGTAAATAGCTTC